ACCCACGAAACAAAGAAAGGTCTGTCACAGCCAAAAAATACACTCCAGACACGCCGCTGGCACTAGAGGCACAGCATATATATATATATATATATTGTCACAGAACTATTCACTAAGACTGCAAGCACGTGAAGTAGAAGGAGAAATAAGATGAGCGAAGAAAAGAAAAATGAAAGGATAGACAGGCAAAGAGACAGACAAACCAGAATGACACAGAACAATGTCCTCTTATTCTTCGTTTCACTCTATCCTGAAGAAAGGATAAAAATAAAAAACAAAAGCACATTGAAATCATTCAGTTTCTCAGTCTTCTTAACGCCTCCTCCACCGTGCCTCTAACGTACAAGGCTCGCCACGTTGATCAAGTTGAGCGCGAGCTGCCCCCATCCCCGTATGCCATAACAGCCCACTTGCACGCTATGGGAAAGAGGCAGAGTGAAGGAAGAGGTGTTAAACACAAGGAAGAGAGGAGCAAACAGGGTAACCAGCAGGCAGAGGGAGAAAAAACAAAAATAAAAATAAAAAACGTTAACACAAACATCTTCTTGCTTTTACTGCATTCTTCTTTCTTGCAGTTTTGGTGAAGAGTCTACCACGTTCGGTTTTCAGCGCACCTGCACTTCCTTCTTCATTTTACAATCTCATTTTCACCCTTTGGACTTTTCTTTTTAGGGTGTTAGGGTGCAGGGTACAAACAAAGTAAAATGACACAGACTTATATTCTTCTTTTACTGCAGCATTCTTCACTGTTTTGCAGTTCTAGTGAAGGGTTTCCCACTTTTGCACATTCTTGTACACTCTTTTCAGCGCACCTGCACATTTTTGTCAAGGTCCAAGGTACGTCAAAGTAAGACCCTCACGACAAATAGGACAATTGTCATAAGGATGCGGGCGATGGTAGCAGCCCTCCCGCTGATCCATAGGACGAAAACCATTCAGGTAAGCAACTTCGTCACAGCAGGAGCCAGGGCGGCTAGCATTAACCATACCTCTGAAGCATGCACGACAGAGGGCATGCCGGTTGCAGGCCATGACGATTGTGGGGCGTTCACCATCACAGTTAAGTGCACATTCACTATAGCGGCCGCAGGCACAGATGGGACATACTGCATTTGGATGTAGAGGATGTTCACAATCCGGATACAGATCGCATCCCTGCCGACAACGGGCCCGAACAATTATATGGTTGTAGTGATGTCGACAAAGTCGATGTTTTCCACAACCAAGTGTAACTGTGTCAGTGATCTCACAAAGAAGGAGGTCACAAGGTGTTAGTGCAGTATGTGGGGGAATAAAGACTAAAGAAGGCACAGTGACAGACGTGGAGGTAGGCACAGAGACAAACACAGAAACGGCCATGGAGACAGGTGTGGAGGCGGGCACAGAGGTAGCTGCAGAGGCGGGGACGGAAGTACATATGATAGTGATAGAGTCAATAATCTGGAAGGAGACAAACACCGAAACAGGCACAGAAACCGGCACAGAAACAGGCACAGAGACGGGTACAGAGGTACGCACAGAGACAGGCACGGAGGCAGGCACAGAGATAGGCGTAGAGGCGAGCAGGGAAGTACAGGAGGTACCCATAGGGTCAATGACCTGGAACAGTTGCAGGTTAGGGTAATGACGCACGAGATCAGAGATGGCAGTAATTGTTTGCACCATAGCACCGCCATTCCATAATTCCCAAGAACCAAAGGCACGGACAAGAGCGGTGTAGTGGCCAGGAGTATGTAGAATATAGGCACAAACGCGCAAACAGTGGTCGGGGTCGCCACCCGAAGGGGCACGCTACACATCAAGCCGACGCCTTATCAAAGCAGTCTCCAAAACCGAGACATTGAATCCCCCATGTCGAGTGTAATTACTATCCTGTGGGGGGTGCAAAGACGGGTTATCGCCATATAACTCACGTTCCTGAGCATCAAGATTGGAAGCAATGGCCAAAAAACCAGAGTGAGTATATGGTTCCCGATGATAAGCTTGTAGGCAGATGTTAGTAGCAGCGATGCCACACAGATTCGGTGGAGGCCGGTCAGGGGGATTTTCTACAGAATCTCTTACAGGCCCCTTGCCAAGTTCATCCTCGGGCGGTCCCTCGCCATCAGCCCTCCTATTTTGTGTTAGCCGCGTTGCAGAAAGATCTACAGTCGAAGAGCGTTGCAGGCATGGTAAGGACGCTTGGGGCGGCAAAAGACGGGGACGGGATGTTGGGGAGGGGCGTGGTGGGGAGAATGAACGGGTTCTTCTTCGTCCAAGAATAGAGATGGAGGAAAGGGGAGTAAGGTGAGGTTGGGAAGTAGGTCGAAACCGACGTCTAGGACGGCGAAGTGGGCTTTCTGCGGGGGAAGAACATGATGACGGAGTCTGTGTGGACGAGGTGGTTTGTGGATTAGGAAGAGGGGTAGCGGATGGAGACAAAATCAGGGGAGGTAGGAGTGGTGAAGACAGCGGCGGTACAGTAGTCGGAAGGTGGGTAACAAACGGAGATAAAACCAGGGGAAGTAAAGGCGGTGAAGATGGGAAGGATGAAGTCAGGGGTGGTGAAGTGGCTGAAGCGGACACAAGGGGCGCAGTCGCAGGTGAGACCCGAAGAGGGGACTCTGCAGGTGGTAATGCAGGCATGGCCACAGATGCCATGGAGGAGCACACCAAGACCGAGGGCAGCACAGCAGCTGTGGTGGCCACGGATGCTATGGAGGAACACACCGAGACCAAGGGCGACGCAGCATCCGCGATGGCCACGGATGCCATGGAGGAACACACCGAGACCAACGGCGACACAGCAGCTGCGGGTCGAGTTGCTCTCGCGGAATCAATCGTAGAAGCAACCAAGGCCAATGGGGAAGAGGCTGCGAACCGAAAAGGGGTAGCCAGGGTCACAAACGGCATGGAAGGGGTCATTACGACTGATGAGGACGTAGGTGCAGCAGATGCAGGTAATGAAGAAGAGGCTGTGATAGGTGTGACAGGCGTCGGTAATGAAGAAGGGGCTGTGACAGGTGTAGTCCGAGGACAGTGTGTGGACACCCGAGAAAGCGGGTGATGAATAGACCATCGAAGCATGCTGCGGAACCAGCTGGAGAGGCGGGTCACGTGGGCAGGGTACCTGTGTTGACGTTTACGAATATAGGAAGTCCATCCTTTCGCAAGCGTTGTTGGAGAGTGCCCGCAAAAAAGCATACGGCGTGTGAGCATCGCTGCTGCAGTTTTGAAGTCATACCAGTTGTTGCAGACATACTCGAACCTAGTAAGCTGGCCTGTAAACACTCCCGCCGGCTGGTGTGCAGGGACATTAGACGTAGCACTAGGATAACGAATAACAGGGAAATTCCATTCAGCTGCTTTGTCAAAGACACTCATACGCAGGGAACCGTCAGGGCGGACTTGGAGACGTGCACCCAAGAATGTGCAAGAGCCATCAGGCGTTGTGGTCTCATTCCATTCAAGGCCATAATGCTCTGACGGTGGTGGCAGATGTCCCCATGAGAGAACATCATCGATCAAGCGGTATGTGAACGCATACCGTTGAGCTGCACGAAGATCACGCTGCTGGAGGTCGACAACAAACCGAGCCTCATCCCAATACAACGTCAAATTAGCTATCTCCGGACCAGAATTAGTCCCCATCGGGATGCCAATCAGCTGATGGCGCAAGGTGCCGTCCGCTGCATAAAGATACGTGTTTGTGACAATGAAATGGAGATGTTCAAGAATTTGGGAAACGGTCAAGGTGTTTATATATATCCATCCATCCATCCATCTATGACACACACACACACACACACACACACACACACACACACACACACACACACACACACACACAAACACACAAGCATGGGCACATGTATCAGTCCAGATATCCAGAAGAGAGAGAAATAAGGGGGGGAGGTAGCTCGTATCTGGGTATATGAACAATTTGTGTTCCCTGGTAGTCAGATATAACAACAATTTGTTCAAGTCCTGGGCATTTCGACAATTCCAACATTTCAGTAGTTATGTATAGCGATAATTTTGCCATTCGAAATGATATAGCAGCGTACTGGCCCAGGGTATAGCAAGAATTTTCGCTTCAGTCCCATGTACAACAGAGAAGCAGAATCACTTCAATTCCAGTGGCACCCACCCAGCCCAAACTCGACTCGGCAGCCACAAGCAGTAGCCAGCCGAAGTCAGGAGAGTTAAATGTAGGGTTTAGGGTTTAGGAGGGTTAAGACTTTTACACACAGTGGGAGGAGAGACAGGCGGTAGCAGGCAGACGAGAGGCAGGCTAGGGGGGAGGATCAAGCAGGAGTAGCAGAGCAGCTTTACCCCTTTCTTTCTAGTCCAGTTGTACCCTTTTTTGAAGTTTGCAGTCTTGGGACGCTGGACCCGGTTTCCAGCATGAGCCTAAAAGCTGGGTAATAGCCCCAGATACCTCCAGGTTGAGATGTTGAGGAATTCCCGGCCTCGGGTTTATGATTTAATATTAAAAAAAAAGTTTCTTTATTGAAAAAAAAAACAAAAAGAAATACAAAAGAAAAGAATAGCAAAATCAAAAGCAGGGTTCAACCGCAATTAAAAAAAAAAAAGGGTTCGACGGAACTTCAACCGCAATTATCCCGAGACTTAATCGCCCCACACTTTCCTGCAATCTCCTTTGGACCCCTGGACATGAACGGACTGACACAACAAACAAACGGGGGAGACCCTCTTCATGCTATGTGTTCGTGTTTGAGAAAGCATGAACCTGCCCATAACGAGATGACCGGGTTCGTGCTTTCAACGGATCAACATAGCATCAGTGGGGCCTGACCCCAAGTTTCATGCTCTGTCCTTCAGGCAAAAAAGGGATTGCCTTTTTCTATTTTTCTTTTCTTCCGTCCATGTGTGTCGTCCTTGCGCAGGGGCCATGCTAATCTTCTCTAAATCATTTCAACTTAACGGATCTCCATCCGCATGCCTGAATCTCTCGAAAGACAAAAGTCATTGCCTTTTTTATTTCCGTGTCTGAGTGTTGTCTTTTTTTTTTTTTTTTTTTTTTGTCTGAATGTTCTTGGCTTGACTGTTCATGGATGTGTCATTCTGTTGAGTGCTGGGTAGATTACACATACCTAAGTACTAACCCTGTGGTACACCCACGAACTGTCGAAATATGAATCAGACCCGAGTTCGAGTCCAGATGCAATCAGATGAACAGAATACGACAATTCTGAATGTTTGGGGAAAAAAAAAGAAAACTTTGTGTCCGTGCGGCGGTGCTGTCTCGGGGGGGACAGGTACGGTCAAAATTTGACAGAACAGATACGTAACTTGGTATGGGTTGTGTTGTCTCTCTGCATCCTGGTCGCGTGGCACGATGAACCACCGATGATGGAAGCACTACCAAGAGGGGAGTAGGGGAGCAGGAGAGCTACAGAGAGTTCTTTCTCAGTGGCATTTGCCGGGGGAGATAGATCATCCGACATTGTTTGTCGATCCATCAATGTATTGCTTGATTATTGAAGAGCAATAAAGGGAAGGACAAGATCAGGAAAGAGAAGATTTTACGGTGTCGAACAGCTGGCGAGATGAGAGAAATGTGGCAATGGAGTAAGCTTGTGCTCTTCTTTTTTCTTTCTTCTTCTTCTTCTTCATCAATATGGTTTCTTCTCCATCACTCCTCTCTCTCTCTCTCTCTCTCTCTCTCTCTCTCTCTCTCTCTCTCTCTCTCTCTCTCTCTCTCTCCATTCTTGACTAGCAACTCATGTGCTTGTATCAAGTTTGAGTTCTGAACCATATCATTGAACTGAGTATCCTTTTTTTTTTCTTTTTTTCTTTTTTTGGATAAAACAGGTCCTTATGGCCCTGGCTCCATGTCCATTCCGCGGAGCATCAGTCCAGGTTCCTATCCCACCGGCAAGTCAAAAGTACAGCAAGAACACCCTCACGCTTCCTTCCATTCGCCCATTCGGTCGAAGGACCCCTGACCAGCATTGATTACTCCAGAAATCTGGAGGATTGACTTGTCAGCTTGTCATCCCTCTTCCTTGCCTCTCAAGTTTGCTTACCCCAAACCTCTGCCAGATTTAACACAAAACCAAGAAAAGCAATAAAAAAAATGAGGAAGCAAAATCCCTGACCTCGTTGGGGGAGTCCGATTGGGCTCTTAACTGATGGGTTGTTGACTGTTTATTGAACAGTCCCCACCATTCTGACATGCCATCAGTTTTTTTAAGGGTTTTTTTTTTTTTTTTTTTTTTTTTTCGTTGTTGTTGTTGTTGTTGTTGTTGTTGTTGTTGTTGTTGTTCCATCTATTGGTGGGGAGCATCACCTGCTGGAAATCGGGTCCAGTGTCCCATGTACAAGATGACACGCCGTCAGGTTGATGTCGCCTTTGAACTGAGATCCTAACTTCCGCATACGAACAAGTTTCCTCGGCCTTGTGGTCTGATGTGTCCACTACACAGAGCTTGTGATCCTGATGAGTGTGAATCCAAGTCTGGCATGCTGCACGGACATTTTTTGGACCACGTGGCCCTGCATAGGTTGCCCTCTGCCTGCTTCCTCCGAATACAACGTACGGTCATTATAGCTGTATTTAGACTGAAAGATACTCCAGATACAGCTATAATTACAGTACGTTGTATTCGGGGGAAGAAGGTAGCCTTGATCTTGGCCTATCGGCGTCTCCTTGTGTGCACTTGCATTCCTTCATTTTTCGTCTTTTTCTATCTTTTTT